GCTGCTGCTGCAGCAGGGGTCGTGACTCAGGACGGCGGCACTGGACAGCAACAACCTATGCAGCAGTACATTATGCCCAAGCGTGGCCAGATGCAACCTACGATCGGCTTACAGAATCAGCAACAACAGCTGAAGGTGGATCTAGGCGGAGGCAAGGCGCCATCCCCGGCTGCACAACGATTCCCTGGTCAAGGATTGGGCACAGTAGCTACGGGGGCTATGCCTAAAGTGCCACAAGCTACAGTGCAAAACTTGTTACAGTCTATGCTTGCTCAACAACAAGCTCAACAACAACAATCAGCTTCCCCGAGCACACAGTCAACCGTGGCGGGTCAGCAAGGTGGCAATCAAAATGCTGCTGCTGCTGCAGCTGCTGCTGCACTCGGTAGGGCCAATCTCGGTAACTTACATCAGTTATATCAGCGGCTACTCACACAGTTCACTCATGGTGCTACTGGTCCTATGCGGCGTCCTGGAGGTATGACACCTACAGGGCCATCTCCTTCGTCTCCGGGTTCTGCTAGTGCTGCTGCAGCAGCAGGAGGAGTACCCTCTGGTACCACTTCTATGCCCGCCATTCAGAATATGCTGCAGAATATATTTGCCAATAATAGATCGCAGTACACTACGGCGGCTACACCGAAGGGTCCTGGTGTACGAGCCCAGCAAGGGCCCTCTACTGCTACCACAGCGTCCCTACAGCAACATCAGCAACAGCAGCGCTCGCCATACCAGCAGTTCTATTACGGCAATGCGGTCAGTGGGGGTACTTCTATTCTGCCCAAGGCTGTACCATCTAAGGCATCTGCGCCACCAGCACCGAGACCGCCGCCGCCGCCGACTACTACTGCTGCTCATGAGAACCCTAGTGCCCCATCGGGTTCCGGTCTCTGATCGACTTGTGTGATAGATTCCACGCTGTTGTTGATGGTAGTTGTGCTACATCACGATCACTATTCTCTATTCGCAACAATTACATCTGCTGCAAGTGCAACTAAATCGTACATAGTATTGCTATCATTTATTGAACGATTGATTGACGACCTATCGTATCGGGGTGTCCCATTTTCTCCGTCGCCTTCATAATGATTACATTTATTAGAATCAAGCGTGTAGTGCTGATACCACCACCACCATCGTTGTTGTTGTTGTCGTTCTCGTCCCCACCCGCTTCTAGTCTACTGCTGCAGTAGTACTGCGTATCATCATATGTATCATTGGAGTACTCTATCAACACCCTACGATAAAGCCTATATCATAATAATACCACCACTACTTCGATATACCTGTTGAGTTCCCACCATACGCCAGGTCTCGCCACGCCTTGGTCATCGTGTGCATGCGTGCAGGTCACTTGGTGCATTTACTTGTACTATATTCCCTGTAGGTATGTCCTCGGGATGCTTGTGTTACCGTTTACGTATGGTTTGTAATTGTGCTCGTATGCACTGCAGAATCGCTCAGTGTTCCTCGTAGGAGTTCTACAAAATACTTCATAGCTCACCTTGTTGCTGAGTACTCAGGCGAATACACTTTTTTATCCATGGAACACGTTATTATCGTTGGTGGAGGCCTCGCTGGCCTTTCGGCTGCTCATACTGTCCTTGAGCGTGGCGGGCGTGTCATACTCCTCGACAAGATGTCATTCTGTGGTGGTAACTCTACCAAGGCCACTTCTGGTATCAACGGGGCACTGACCGCCACTCAAAGGAAGCAGGGCATTCCTGACAGCCCGGAACTCTTCGAAAAGGACTCCCTCAGAGGCGGTGCTGAGCGGCCCGATCTCATCAAGGTTTTGACCCACGAGAGCGCTGATGGCGTCGATTGGCTCATTGATCGATTCGGTCTTGACTTGTCATTGCTTTCGAGACTTGGCGGTCACTCTATGGAGCGTACCCATCGCGGAAAGGCTCGTTTTCCTGGTATGACAATTACTTATGCTCTTATGGAGAAACTTGAGGAAATTTGCGAGAAGGAGCCAACTCGAGCTAAGATGATCATGAAGGCCAAGGTTGACAAGCTGCTGACTGATGCCTCCGGTGAAGTGATTGGGTGCGAGTACGTTAAGGACGGCAAGACCCATGCACTGTTTGGGGCCGTTGTCTTGGCTACCGGCGGCTTTGGTGCTGACTTTACCGATGGCTCTCTATTGAAGCAGTATAG